CTTTGGGTGTAGGAGCCTCACACAGTCCGTTGCCGACCCATGCTTTAGGGCATGTGTATCGATAAGGACATCCATTCACTACACTGTTACCTTAGTTCCCGTTCGCTCCAACTTTCGTATTAAAATGTTGCGATGTGTCAGTCACATGACTAACCACAACTGCAATATGAACCGGAGCTTGCTATGTGCGAATAAAGCACGGAAAGTACAATGCTCACAAACCTCACGAGTTGCCCACGAGTAAGATTTTCGGAAGTGACTTATCCTTGATAGGTACTTCAGCAAGTGAGGTCAAAATCCATGATTTGTATTACTATGTTTTAACAAAGAGCAACGTTCGTCTCTATTCTGCAACGAGATATGTGCCCTCATGTTCCTCCATCAATTTGCATTGAAGATCGGGGACTAGATCAAGAAATCGTTAAGAGGAACATCGTGTAGCTTTCTCTCGTCCTTGCGGAATGAGCAGGAGGCGGGAGTGAAGGGATGTTGCCTTGGGAAAGTTGGAGTAGATGGGAGGAAGTGAGGACGCGAGCTTAGGTGTGAAATACTGAGACAAAGTTGCGGCTAAGGTGCAACTATAATTGCGGTCAAATTGTGTCTGTTGCTCATAGCGAGTGTGATGATGAGAGCACGTAGTAGAGTAAGTACGTGGCAAGCTAGTGCGCATTAGACGTGATAAATTAGTGAAAGCAATTAAAGCTACAAATAAAGCGTAGACAAAGAATAACATGGGGAAGAATAAAGATGACAGGTCAGTCAAATTGACAAATGTGTGGGAAATAATATGGAACGCTGAGGAAAAATGAAGGCCTAATAAAAGTGGGCTGGCGAATGAAAAAGCGCTTGTAAGTCATACAATGATTGGGCACTGGCGTGGCAGCGGATTATTTTGGATGGATTTCTGGCGAATGCAGAAAGTATTAGCCACGCTCACAGTAGGGATTCTGCACTCACGCGTGTGTGATGGCTTTGGTCCACTGTTCTGTGTTCGTCTGCACCAACAATGCGCTCCCACCCCATGTCTGTGTGCGGCTGTAGAGGAATGCTACAAAGTTGACAAGGATGGTGGCGTAGTAAATATTCAAGGGGTGGAAGCAATCCATTATTCTTCCCAACCAATGTCCTTTTGTTCTTTCTCATTTGTTTGAAGGCATAACAAATCGCCCATTCAAATCTCACTGCTCCTTGATGCCTCACTTTACCATCACTAAACGCATGACATGCAGCCGTCTGTCCAGCATTGCAGGCTGCTCTTATTCTCTTCCATAACTCCGCTTGTGCTTAGTCCACACCCACCACACGTCATACGAGGTGAGTAGGCAGTCTTACACTCCAAACTTCAACAAACGCTCGTGCCTTTCTCCAATGCTATGCAAGTACTGATTGGACCAACCCGACTACGCGTCCGTAATCACCCTTTCAAATACTTTAACCCTAACAGTGTGCGAAGCGCGGGTGATGAACTTTCGTCATATCGCCAACTCCAATTTTGAAAGCGTGTGAGTGGCTATGGAGGTTGTGTGCATTATTCAGCTAATTCGATGGTTGATATTGGAAATAACATTCCGAAGATCACGTCATTGTATCTACAGTGTTTGGACTGCTGTCAGAATCCAGAGGTCAAAGTACATAACTGAGTTTAATTAGGTCTTTGGCTCACCAAATAGTCTACTTGGTGAATGCAATGGAAAGTGGTGTTGGTGGGTTGGAGGCAATGAGGAAGTCTGCCAGCAATTAATTGGTGCTGCAATGGCTCTAAAATTCAGTCAGAACTTGTGTGTCCAATTCAAAGTCCATTTTGCTTAATTCGGATGCGGAAACACAAAGGCAGTACCTTTTCTTAGATGTAGTGAGTGGTGAGCCTGCAGTTGCAGTAAAGGTATTTGGAATGATCGCACTGTTGCATGGGTTCCGCTTGAATGTTTTGAGGAGAACACTGCGTGAGGCAATGACTTACAGTAAATTACAATGCTACTGTGTGACCTGCAGAAGTTGTCACCCACAAGGAGGACAAATTAGTTTTCAAAGCATTGACGGTGACCAGCGCATCGTTTATTGTCTTTTTGCTCCGCTCCAATGTAAATTGGAATAATTGCTCTTAAATGTAAAACTCGACAACAAACCACATGGCATGGCGCGCGACACGTGCTACTGTTGATTGATGCCGCTCTCGTCAAATGAAGAAAGTGAACAACAATTGGATCAAGTGTGGTTCTTGACGGCGCCTTCATTGTTTTGTTGCGTGCATAAGTTCGTTTCCTTTCCAACCTTTATGTTCTGCTTCGGCTCTTTTTAGCCCAGTGTAGCATATTCGTTATGCGTTACTGTCGAGTCCTTCGCCATTCCGTAGTAGCCCAGAAAGCAATGCATAAAGCAGCTTTGCAATGCATTTGAATGAAGGGTAGGTCAACACACCCTTGTTTGTTTTCTCTAGCAGGTTTTATTGATCACATTGCTTATCCTGACCACTCTCGAAGATGCAGTTTTTAGAGACCATATTGAATCGCTGTACTAATCTTCCCCATTTTGTGCATGCATACGTCATCTAGACCTCTACACCATATGACATACATTGTTGATTCGACTTTGCAATGCAGATTGGCGGAATAAAGGTCATAATTATGCCTGAGCATTTCTGCAATATCTCTATTTCATGTTAAGAGCGTATGTGCAAATAGAGAGGTAGGTGAAAACATGCACGAATAAGAGGACGCATGCAGTGGATAAGTGGGTATAGGGATATGCTACTCCATCACAGGGCGCTTTAGGTCAAGCCTGCACGCCACGCACAAATACTAGTGCTTAGGATCCCTTTATTTAGTACACTCCCATCTTCTTACCAGTTCTCCAATGGCCCCATTTTCTTTTAGCCAAATCATTACTCTTCCTTCGCTATCCAGTAGGGACTGAGTCACATCAATTCTCTCTTTGCTGCAGGCTTATAGTTGCATGTATGCTTCTTCAAGGGTTTCGTAAAAATCTACCTGCCTGTGGTACTACTTACTATGAGCAGGACAATTAGCGAAACCGCATCAATCATTCCCATGCCTATGCGACACATTCAGAGCAGATAATACGTTGGCACCCAAATAGCGGAGTGCGAATGCAATCAAGAGGTGTTAGGTAGTAAAGAGAATAGGCATACTTAACTCAGCATGGCCTACAGCATCTTTGCCAATTATAGCAGCTTGTCAACGAGCAGCGTTAGTTACTTACTATATGACAGCCGGAAGCACAAAAGGAGTAAAGACATGCCTGAGAACAGAAATGTTCGACAACGCACCCTTCTGTGCAACAACACAAGCGAATGTGAGTTGCGCAAGAGCAGCTATAATTCTGCAGCTACGCGAAAATTGATGTGGCTCAATCTCTCCCGGACAGGAATAATACAGCAGGCGTTTGCTGAAGGGAAATGAGACAATTGGATAGATGGACATGAGGCAGAAGCAGTGAAACGGAGAAAGGTAAGAAGAAGGGTGCATACTAAATGAGGTGATCCTAACCACTAATGACTGTGTTTAGTGTGTAGACTTGACCTTAACTACCTTGTGATGAATTACCATCTGCCTATGCCTCCTTACCTTTACATCCGTCTGCCTAATCAAGCCAACCATTACCCACCTCCCTAATCCCATTGCTGCCCAAGGCATGGTAGGGCGAAACGGTAGCTATGCGCAGGCAATCTTGACGTAGCATACCAGCAACGTCTGAAGCTCGCAACACTTTCTTCTCACCCGACTAAAATACCTCATTTGAAACACGAGGTTTTGCTTCTTATCGACAAAATCAGCACCTACACTTAATCCAACAATTCCAAGTTTCGTAGCCCACCACCAACGTCTACATCCCTCACATATTCATATTAACAATTTCCCACAAATTTCAACTTTATCTATCCCACTGATCGCATTTAAAACACGATATCCGCTTCTCCCTTCCGCACTCGGTTACGGATTTAGCAGCTTATATCGCATTTGTTCTACGTTGACAACATTTTATACATTCAGCTACATTTACCCCGCTTTTCTCATGTGAAGCACGGAATTCCACACTACGGTGACTAAATTAACATATCTTCACTCCATTCTAAAATGCAAATTATCATAACTTACCATTGACGACTGCGGTCAACACCATTCCCACACATGGAACTTGTCATATTTTCTACTTCTTTCACCTCGAGTATCCCTAATAACGCACGGATTTTTACTCTTCGATGACCAATTCTGCGTCCTCTAAGCTGACCTTTCTTTCGTGTTGCCCCTCACTGAGTAGTTCTTTGCTTAGTACCCTGAAAGTAAAAATCTAAAGTGGATTGCGTTCATTTGCATAGAAGGTGCTCTGGAAGGCGAAATAGGTTCAGCTACCCTTCTATACCCTAGCTTGAATATGATTTGATACGGAGTACACCATCCACCTCATTGTGGTTGCGCTGCCCTGTTTGTAATGCATGGCATATTAGATCGCTAATAGGACCCTACTCCGCACTACTGCCCAAGGCATCCCTTTTTCGCAAGGCTCGACTGGTCCACCGAAAGCGAAAGCAATGCTGTGTGGATGTGATCACAACTTCCTAATCGGCTAGAACGATGAGAGGAGTTAGCTCAAAACCGCAAATTCTAATTACTCTTCATTTTAAAAGCCATCGTGAATAAAGTCACAGAGAATCTACACTCGCACCATGAGTACCACCGTCACCACATACGAAGTCATGCCCTGCCAATCGCCCTCCTCAACCACTGCTAATGCAGGTACAGGGACTGCATTCTCCCACCGACCTACTCACTTGCCTCCACAAAGGCGAGAAGTAGAAGAGAGGAGACAACAGGAATCATCGCCCAGACAATTAGATGAGTGAAATAAACGCTTGACAGTACAAACAGAGGTGTACACACAATACGCACAGATCGCTGTGATTTGCCGCCACTGGCACTAGGGGTTGACACAAATACTTCCAAATCCCGCATCCCAACCGACAGGCACTGATGCCTTTTACGTATCAAAACCGCCACGACAACGTGTTACACAACTGCGAAGCGCATCCTTCAGATTCGCCTCGGCCCTCGACAGAGAGTTCATAGTCTCCAATACATCGTATTGACAACTTCAGCACCAGCATGGTGTCAGCAAGGAGAGTGGACTGAAAGAGGGAGGCCTTAAGCTGGCGCACGCAACCTCTCAAACATTTCCAAGCAAGCAGAAAATGCATAGGGTAGCATGAAGCCATGTAGATATGGATGGCTACATAGAAATGAACACAACATAAACGAAAAGGACAATCGGCAGGCGATTGAAGAGCTACTGGAGAGACAAAGAATGTGGCAAGATTTATGGTGCTACATCGCACCAAATCGCAGCGATCCAACTTTGGAGGACTACAATTAACTATACGCCAACCATAATTGACACGCAGTAAAACCCCTTCTGCCTATTCAACAGTGTCTCTCTGACCCACACCGTAGAAATGCAGCGCTGATAGATTACTAATAAACTCACCCCCGCCTGCCTGACCAACTGTTGGTATCACTGCAGACGTTTCATCAAGTGAACGTCAATGAATCATTGGACATTTATCCTACGACCAAGTCACAAGTACGAAACTGCCTGATACCTAACCAAAGTTACTTCTTTTCATCGAAAATGCAGACTCCTCACACCGCTGGGCTACGAACGACTCCAACGGTAAAATCATGATCAACGCACCATCAAAAATGCAGACAACAATGCTCATGGAGTACTACATACTCCTCAATCAGCGGAATATAAAGACAAATTATTGATAGTAAAAATAACTAACTTGCTATCAACAAATATTCTTTCCTGAACTTATGCCTTCAGACGCTCTTCTTGCCTGTTACTTGGATCTTGAGATGCTGAAACAATGGCAATACTGAAGAGGTAACACAATAGCTGTCTTATCTGAGTCTGTATAGAATGTTTTTCTTTGGACTCTACCACTGTTGAAGGACATTCGAATA